AAAAAAAAAAAAAGGAAAGGAGCTGGTTCAGCCGAGCCCTAGCCCAGGCCAGGGAGTGGGGGGTGGGGTGGGGTGAGAATGTGACCTCCATGCAGAGACGCCTCCAGCAGCCCCCTTCCTTTGCTAGGCCCCAGGCCTTAACAAGTCAGTCAGAACAGGAGTCCGTTTGGCTCCACAGGACCCACGGCCACTGCTAGAAAAACAGGCTAATCCACCATCTGGGAGGGTCCATTGGTGGGAAACCAAGGCAGCAAGTCTGTCCCTGATGGTTGAGAGCCCCTCCTTCTGAGGGAAAGGGGCTGAACCCATGTGGCCTGGGCACATATCCTGAGGTGACCCTCTCTGTGTGTGTCCTCCCAGACTCCGTGTCCGTCCTTTGGGGGTGGGGAGACACAGTGGTGACTAAATAACTATATGAGGGCCCAGGAAGGGCTCACCAGGGGCCCTCAGGAAATTCCCGGGAGAAATGAGAAATGGATCGAGTTCACAGTCAGCCCTGTGACCTCCTGGAGAGAAACAAGCCCGATGCCACTGCTTTATGAATAATTCAGGGGGCTGATCCCTGGAGTCAGATCTTGGTGAGCAGCCAGACACTGCGGAAAGGTCTGTGGTGAGGAAGCTGCACACCAGGCCTCAGCCCGCTCTCTCCGCCCAGGTACTTCCTCATTGAGCGTGGGAAGAACATGTGTGGGCTGGCCGCCTGCGCCTCCTACCCCATCCCGCTGGTGTGAGCCCCGACGCAGCAGTGACCCGCTGGTGGAGACAAGGAGGGACCCCAGGCGCCTGGGCCGCTGGCAGGCGGTTTGCTCCAGAGGATGTGGGGGGAGCCACCCAGGGCCCTCGCTCCGGGAGGAGGAATTCCAGCAACAAGCCCACCTCATCTCCTGACCAAACGTGATCACCAGCCATGTGCCTTAGGCCTCGTTTTTAACTGACTCGTACCCACCAAGAATGTTCTTTATTTCCAGAGGGGAGAGCACTCGTGACTCTTTGTGGCCTTGATTGAATAAACATTCTGTGAGCACCTCCCCAGGCCAGGCCAGTGCTGTGTGTGCTGTGTGCTTGGGACTAAAGGCAACCCAGACTGGGCCTGCCCTTGGGGCCCAGGTTTCCCAAGAGGGAGGCATCATGGAGCTGCCCAGGTGTCTGGCTGGGAGGACAGTGTGGGTGCCAGGTGGGGGACCCAGGGGGGAGAGCATTTTCTGACGGGGTAAGGGGCCTGGGGGTTCACATGTCCTACCTCCCGCCACCTCCCTGCGCCGCTGGGACAATAGCATAGACACTGTGTTGCCCAGCCCACGAGCACCACTACAGCCCACCAGCGAGAACCTCACCTCCACAGTAAACCCTGTCGAGTTTAGTTTATTTCACAAAACCACCAACAGGCCAAAATCCAGTTATTATTTTTCAAATGCTTCTTTCTCTACAGACATGAGTTAACGTGTGCAAATACACCAACTCCCGTGAGTTGGTACATAAATATTTCTGGTACAGAAACTCATTAAACAAATAAGCCACCTTACTCTGAACTTCCTATCACAAAAAAATCCCGAGGGTCTCCTGACAACACATCAAATGCAGAGAGGGTGTGAAAGGGAAGGTTTGCCTGATTCCCACCAGCGGTCACTTCATTCAGGAAGTTTTCTGAACTCAAATGAAGTTTAAACTTTTAATGACTGTTTTTCAGCATCCAAAGTGTTGGGAGGGGCAAGCGGACTCCCAATTTCACATGAGTCTCAGCAGGAGGCTGTGTCACTGGGACTGGTTCAGAAGGATCACCAGGCCTCCTGGAAACAGCTGTGCAGAGGGACAGACAGGATCTTTCCAGAGCGCTCTGGCCTGCCAAGTCCAAGGTTCCTGTGCCCGGGGGGAGGGAGAGGTGGTGGTAAGACTGAATCTTCCCTACAGCCCCGGTGGGGCCGAGCCCAGGGACGTGGGAGTCAGTGGCCTCCTTTCGTGGTGGCTGTGCAGTTCACGTGGGCTCCTCACCACTGACACTTTCTTACTAGTTTTATTACACATGACTTGTCAGGCACCATCTCGTCACACCCAGTATGTCCGCTCCTCACACCCCTTTGAGGCAGACACTCCATTTTCAGATGAGGAAACTGAAGGACAGAGTGTGATCAAGCAACATACCCAAACCACAGAAATCAGCCAGTGGCAGTTAGGATTCGCTCGAGTTGGCTCTCGGCCCCTCCCCTCTGCTGCCTCCTTTCCAAAGCAATTCAAATATAGGCCCAGGGGTGGCAGCTGACACCATCTGTCCTGTGGTTTCCCTCCCGCCACCGTTAAGATGAACTTTTTTTTTTTTTTTTACAGTTCTTAGTATATATATTTTTGAGTATTTTAAAGGAAGTGTTCTAACATCAAGTGAGAGAACTGAATCTGGGCTAAAGACAGAAGACGTTCATTATTATGGAGCCACACTTTGACCAGCTTCCCGTGGCCGTGTGAATGGAAGACGAGCTGCTTGTTCCAAGGGGGTAAATGCGATCCTTGGTTGGCTGCGTGTAGTTCAGCAATGTGACCCAAGGTGTGGGGAAGCCAGTGTGCCCAGGAACCCAGGTGAAGGCAGGGACAAGGGACCGCTATGGAGTAAGCAGGCTCATGGCAGGAAAGGCACATAGGGGACTCCCCAAGGGGAAGAGAGAAGATCCGAAGGCTGACCCAAGTCCGGAATCCAAAGGTCCATGGGGACAGGGTCCCACAGAGGGTAGTATGGACTGAAGCCCCTCAGGGCTTAGGGACCTTGGAGGATATCCTGCTCTGAGGAAAAAGGCCGAACACATGATGCCGAGGAGCAGCTTTAGGGTACTGGAGTGCGGGGTGCCATGACGCCCTATGCAGATGCCCCAGGGTGGGCCAGGCCTATAGACTGTAGGGAGACCCTTAAAAGAGCGACACCAGTGGCCACGACGACCACTTACTGTGCACACCTGTCTGGTCTCTCGGTCTGGCTGTAGAAGGACTGGCCCCTCAAATTCTTGGACAGAGGGGTAGTCAAGAATGACGAATGAGACCCCGTGCTTATCAGATACCTGGGAAGTAGCAGTGAAAGAGTGCATCCCACATTGGTGACACAGATCACATCGGGAACCTCTGAGGTCCCAGACCGGTCCTCCATACTGGCATCTTTGCGTCTCTGCTCTGGGACCAAGAAGGGCAGGATGATTCAGTCCCTGAATAAAGCTTAGAGCCATCACCTATGTCATAAGCATGGTACTCGGGCTGACCAGGGGTGGGGGCAGGGGGTCAGCAATGCCAGTACTATCGCTAGGCCCACAGGGTAGTCTGAGCTCATGCCAGAGAGCACAGGTCAAGGACAGACCAAACATCCCCCTTCTCCTTACACACACACAGCCTCAACAGTGTGTGTGCGCGTGCGTGCCTGTGTCTGTCCTTAATCAGCCCTGGACACAACACCCGTGTGCCCCACCCCCACCCAGTAGCAGGAACCATGGCCCCCGCTCTGCTGCCTTCTGTCCCTCTCAAGGCTGAACGCACATCCATCTGTTCTGAAACCACCCCCTTCAGCTCTCTTTTCTTCTTCGTTTTCAATTCCTACTTTTCTAGTATCATTCTCCAATGTTCTATATGTTGAAATGCAAGCAAGCAACACACATAAAGAAACTTTGTTCTTTCCCCAACCACATTCTCCCCAAAGGGCGCTGCCCAGCCCAGCCCCACAAACCCCACCTGACAGTCGGACTCATCAGCGCAGGCAGGACAGGTGAACGTTTGTGCCACAGCAGGAGCGGCAACAGTGACCTTCCCCTCAGCCCCAACCCCGGGGAGCGGTCTGGGAGGACCTGCCCTGCGCCGTGAACAGTGCTCGGCCCGGAACGGGTGTGAGGAAGAAGAATCGACACGCTTCTGGGTTATCTTTCTTTCAACAAAGCACACACCCTATTGTTGCTCGTATTCTGGGGCACAGGAGCCGCTGGGATGAAAATAGTGTATTCGCTTTATTGCTGGACCTCACAGTCAAGGGATCCTCACCTCACTGGGAACCCAGGGGACCCAAGGGTCACACCTGCAGACACAGAGGGGCAGGAGTCATGGGGAGAAGGGGGAACTTCACCCCAGCTCAGGCTTGATGGGTGTTTCAGACAGAGCCAAAGCTAGCCCAAGCCATGACCTTCTTGCCATTCAAATCAAATTAAGTCACCTTGTGTCAATAGGAAGTTGGGGAGATACAACTTTCCTCCCCAAAACTGGCCAAGAGAGTTGACCAGCTGGCAGCAGCTGCCCCCGGACTGCTGGAGTTGGGACTTACAAGTCTGGAACCCCTGGGGCAGGCGGGAGGTTGAGGTCAAGAATCTGGACGGATTCCCCATGAGGATGCGGGTTTCTAAGCAACCTGACAGCACCATGTGTGGAAAGGAGAGCAGAGGGCCAGGCACTGAAATCCTCAGTCATGGGAAGTGAGGAGTCATGAGGAAAGGTGAGGGGAGGTCTGATGCGTGAGTTTCCAAGGTGCTAGGATCAGATTATGCACTTTCCTATGTCGTCAGTTTTTACCTGAATAAATCATTTAAATCTTAACAAATCAACTTCTACAAATTTAATTTCTTGTTTTGTCCATAATGATTGGGTAATATTCCATGATAGGAATGACCCCATGGCTATTTATTTTTTTATAATCCTTCCCCATCTGGAAAAAATACACAGTTAATAACTATAGGAAAATACCTTTCAATGTGGGCAGTTCTATCCCCAAGAAGTGACCTATATGAGTTACAAGCAGCAAAGAGGCAGAATGAAAGCATGAACTGCTTTTGTGACTGGGCTGGTACCGGAAGGAGCAGGAGTGCCCTCAATCCAGTCCCCAGGAAGGGAAAGATCCTACGCCCTGACTCTCACCTTCTAGCCTCCCTCTAATGCCACCTACTGGGAGAACTTAACAAGCAGCCAGTCAAGAAAGGAGAAACCAAATTTAGAGCCCCAAGCCCAGCATCTGAAAACCAACAGAGCTGAGACCCAACAGTATCAGAACCAATCAATCCCATCCTCCCCTTCATACTCAGCATCCACACCCCTGACCAGAAACACACGTGACCACGGTACAGTAACAGCCAACACTGCAAGCTTTCCACTTGCGAGATGCCCATGTCCTTCATACCAAGGAAGACACTGGCCCTCGCCACCAGAGGCGGCAGTGAACTAACTAGTCCCTTGCACCCATCATGGTGCCGTGTTAATGACCCCTCTAACTCAAATAGTCCCACCTCAACCTTCCGTAACATAAGAAAATGCACATCGCTGCTGTCCTTGTCCTCACTTCTATAGTTCTCACAAGGCCATAGCTGGTATTTTAAAACTTCTTCCTATTGTTTCCTTTGCTCTCTGCCAGCCTCTCAGCTGCCTTTTTTTTTTTTTTTTTACCAGTCTCAATTCTCAATGGTCTTATCTTTTGTAGTTTTCTGTAGTTTTCTATTTAAGTTTTCCTAAAGGTGTGTAAGTACTCAGAGGTGCCCAGAGACTCCTCTGGGGCCCTGACATGGTCCTCCCTGGCCCCACCTGCTCCTTGAACCAAAGCCAATCACCCAGCCAGTACAGCAGCCCCTCTTGACCTGTGGTTCAGTGGATGAGGAATCCAAATGCTGGCTCACCATCGAGGCCAATGGAACCATCATGTCCCCTGGAGAGAGCATTTCTCCTGGGGAACCAAATCCCCCAAACCAGCAGAACCCAAAGTTGCAGGAATGGGAAGCGAACATTTGGTTTTTGAGGCCACTACTATCCCGACATGAATTCCCAGTCCTGTGTATCCTGAGATCACCAGCACATACCACACCTCCTTAAAGTTAGATCTCGCTCCCAAGTAGCATCACACCGGAGGCTTCAGTATCTCATTCCACCACCCTCAGGCTGACGTGGCCTGTCAGAAGAAACGTCGTACACAATACCATGGGCAGCAAGTAAAGATCTCCGAGTCCACAGATGACATTGGTGAAAGGGTTACAGAGCAGGCAAACCCGTATCTAGACACCTAGAGCACACATCTGTTCCCGTGGGGATAAACTGGT